TAGACCATATCCCTTACTCTTAAAGGCTCTCTTGTGCCCTCTTCTAGTCAGCCTCCAACTCCATCACTGCGCCAGAAAACCAAATAGAAGCTTTCTGTCTGTATGGATTAGGTTTTCTTTTTAAGAGTTTCATACAAGTGGAGTTATGCAGTATGTACTTAGGCCGTTTTTGCTCGACATAATTTTTTTTTTGAGATTTTGTTCATGTTCTTGCATGTACCAGTAGTTTCATTTTATTGCTGAGTATTTTATTGCATGGATATACCACAATTTATTTATCCATCCTCCTGTTGAGGGACCTGTGAAATTGTTTCCAGCCTCAGCCTTTGATGAATAAAGTTGTTATGAACATCCATGTACAAGACTGTATGAATATATGTCTTTCTTCTTTGGGGAAAATAGCTAGAAGTATAATTGCTAGATCATATGGTAAATGTATATTTACTTTTATGTGAAAGTGACAAGCTGTTTTCCAAAATAGTTGTGTTGTTTTATATTCTCATCAGTGATACATGGGAGTTCCAGTAGCTCTACATCCTTGTCAACACTTGACATTGTCAGTCTCTTAAATTTTACCTACTCTAGTGTGTGTGTAGTGGTATATCTTTTTGGTTTTAATTTGCATTTTCTGATGACTTGTAATGCTGGGCATCTATTCTTTTACTCAGTGGCCAATTGATAAATCTTTTGTAAAGTGTGTGTTGAAGTCTTTTGTCGATTTTGATCAATGGTTTCTTTTCTTATTATTGAGTTGTAAGAGTTATTTGCATATTCTGCATGTAAGTCCTTTGTTAGATATATGTTTTACAAATATTTTCTCCCAGATTATGCTTTTCTTTTTCTTAACAATGTCTTTCAATAAGTGAAAGTTTTTAATTTTGATGAAGTCCATTTTATAATTTTCTTTTATGTCTTTTGTATCTAAGAAATCTTTGCCTACCTTTAAATATTATACTTTTTCACATATAATGTTACCACCTTGCAACAATATTCTTTCATTTTCTTCCTTCTCCTCTTTGTGCTATTGTTTTGTACATTTTAGTTCTCTGTATTTTTTAACATGTTATTAAAAAAATAACTACCATACATGTTATTAGTTTTTCTTTTAAATAAATAATTTTCTTTTAAAGAAATTAAGAAACGAAAAACAAGTTTTATCTACCAACATAGTAATATTTTCTGGTATTCTTCATTCCTTTGTGTAGATCCAGGTTTCCATCTGGTACCATTTTCCTTTGACTTGAAAAGTGTCCTTTGACATTTTTTGTAGCATAGGTCTATTAGCAACAAATTATCTCCTTTTGGGGGTGGGAGGGAAGGGTGCTCTGAAATGTCTTTGTTTTGACTTAATTCTGAAAGACATTGTCAATGGGTATAGAATTCTAAATTAAAAGTGTTTTCTTTTAGCACTTTAAAGATGTCAGTCTCTTATTCTCCGGCTTAAGTAGCTTCTTTTTTTAAAATTCAAGTTTATTGGGGTGACTGTGGTTAATAAGTTACATAGGTTTCAGGTGTACAATTCTGAAATACATCATCTATATATCACATTGTGTGTGCACCACCCAGAGGCAGTTCTCCTTCCATCACCATATATTTGATCCTTTTTACCCTCACCTACCACCCCCCTCCCCACTTACACTCTTGTAACCACTAAACTATTGTTTGTGTCTGTGAGTTTTTGTTTCTTTCTTTGTCTTGTTCCTTTGTTATTTTCAGTTTTATTTCCCACATATCAGTGAAATCATATGGTTCTGTGTGACTTATTTCGCTTAGCATAATAATCTTAAAATCCATTCATGTTGTCGCAAATGGCACTATTTCATCTTTCCTTATGGCAGAATAGTATTCCATTGTGTATATATACCACATCTTCTTTATCCAGTCATCTATCGAAGGACGCTTTGGTTGTTTCCATGTCTTGGTCACCGTAAATAAAACTGCAGTGAACATCGGAGCACATATATCTTTATGGATAAATGTTTTCAGATTTTTTTGGGTAGATACCCAGGTGAGTGGTTGCTGGGTCATATGGTAATTCTATTCTTAGTTTTTTGAGGAACTGCCATACTGCCTTTCAAAGTGGCTGCACCAATCTGCATTCCCACCAACAGTGTATGAGGGTTCCTTTTTCTCCACAGCCTTTCCAACACTTGTTAATATTTGTCTTGTTGATGATAGCCATTCTAACTGGTGTGAGGTGACACTGACAGCCAACAGACATATGAAAAGATGCTCAACATCACTAATCATCAGAGAAACGCAGATAAAAACCACGATGGCTTAAGTAGTTTCTGATGAAAAGTATATGGTAATTCCTTATTTTTGTTCCTCTGTACATAATGTGTCTTTGTTTTTCTCTGACTGCTTTTGAGATTTTCTCTATCACTGATTTTTAGGAACTTAATTATAATGTGCCTTTATGTGGTTTTCTTTGTGTTTATTATGTTTTGATTCATTAAATTTCTTTGATCTCTTCATTTATAGATTTCATCAAACTTGGAAACTTTTGGACCATTATCTTCAAATATTTGTTCTACAATTCCCCTTTTTTAATTACACATATGTTAGATCACTTGATATTTTTTCATAAGTTGCTGCAACTCTGTTTATTTATTTATTTACCCACATTTTGTTTCCTTGCTTTTGTTTTGGCTAGTTCATATTACTGTGCATTTAAGTTTCTTGATTCCCCCTCCCCCCGTATGTAGTCTGTTATGGGTCTCGCCTGGTGAATGCTTGAGACTTAGCATTTTTCATATCTAGAAGAAGATCCATTTGGTTCTCTTTTATATCTTCCATTTTTCTCCTCATCTGTGTTCATATTTCTTTTAAATATGTGATCATAGTTAGAATAGCTTTTGTAATGCACTTTTATGCTTAATTTCTTTATCTGTCATTTCTGAATTACTTTTTTACTCTGGCAGCCAAATAGGAATTGATTGTAAGAGGGTAAAAAGGAGGAAGGAAGATGCAAGGTCTGGATGAGGTTGTAACAGTTGGAACTGGTAAGAACTAATTAAATTCTAGATCTATTTCTCCACAAAGCCTTCTACTTTTTCTGTGAAGCCTTCTATCACATTAGACCACAAATCCCTTCTTTTCCCAGTTATATAGAGAGTCAGATTTCGCCTTATTGTATTATGTTTCATGTGTATCTATTGCCCAGGCTCCTCCTGTGCTTCTCAGGTCACTTATAATAAAACCCTAAGCCTCTAGGTTCTGTGTGATCTGCCTCTGGGCTTCCTCCCTAACTTCGCTTCTGATTTAAATATTCATTATACACTCCTCTTCACACAGGCCTCACTGCTGTTCTTCAAACACTTCAAACATACTCCCACATCACAATCTTTATAATTGATATTTCCTCCTTGCACGTTTGTCTCGTTAGTATTTCCCCAGCTTACTTTCATTCTTTCAGATGGCTGCTTAAATGTCACCTCCTTTGAAAGAGACCTTTCCTGAAACAATGTTTCCCATCACTCTCCAGCTCCTTTCCTTCTTTATTTTTCTTCATGGCATTTTCCTACCTAACACCATATTTGTAGATCTCTTTGCTTATTATCTGCTGGGAAGGGAGCTCCATTAAATCAGACAGGATTTTGTTTTATTCTCCGCTGTATCTCTTCTAAAACAGTTCCTGCAATATAGGGAGGGCTTAATAAATATTTGTTAGATCAGTGAAAGAATGAATTAATGTCATAAACTTTTTTTTCTTTACATGGATTAGATTATGTAGAACTCAAGCAAATCTAGATAGATGATGATGTTAATCAGTAGCAATATTTCTGGTGAACATTTAGGATCTCAACTTGGTACCCCTTTCCACCTGCCCCCCTTTCCTCCATGCACATCCATTGCCTTTGGGATCAAACCCAAGCTCCTTAGTCTGGCTTTCAAGGCTTTCTAAGACCCCATCTCTGGGGATATTTTTAGCTTCACTTCTATACCAAGTCCTTACCCTCATAGCTTATGCTGTAGTCATATTGAGTGACTTATAGTTACCCTAATATGCCCCTTGCAGATGTCTTTTGCAGCACCTTTACATTTATATTTTGTAACTTTGTGTGTGTGTTTGTGTGGCAGGGGGGCGGGGGCGGGCAGGTCTCTCCTTCTCACAGCCTCATATGCTCTTCAAAGGAAGGGACCTGGCATATTTTTGTAACTCCAGGACCTAGTATAGTTCCTGGCATATCATACATGGTCAGAAAATAGTTATTGAATGTTAAAGATGGTTTTGTCTTCAAGTCATAGAGCAGTGGGAATTTGAAAAGGTTGGATCTGGACCAATAAACTGGTGAAAGCAGTTTGATCTCTTTAATGGGTTTGGAATGGCTGTGTCCGGAGACAAATAGGGTTGAAGAGCACACAATGTTAGAATACCTTAATTTTTAGCAAAATCATACTGGGTGAGGACGGATGGCATGCAACACAATTGAATCAGCACACTGAACTAGAAAAAAATCGCTTAAGTTGGAGAAAGGGTTATTGGACAAGTGTTATTTAGAAAGAAGCAGAACCATTTGGCAGTGGACTGATCATAGAAGGATTAGTCCTATTATTTAGTCTGTGAGAGTTGTGCAAGGTGGTGACCCTGCTCATCATGAAGAAATAATAATGGGGGGAATTCAGGGCAGCAGTGGCACATTGACTATTAACAGTGACCTATTAACAGTGTGAGAGTTAAGGGTTAGGTTAGGTTTAACCTGACTGCTCTTGGTTTAATGGGAAAGAATGCCATGAAAATTTAGTTACGTCTGTTAAGTGTGTGGGGGAGGAAATGGCTGTATTTGTTCTATGTTTGTCATCTTTAGTTGATGGTTTGCATTTCCTATGTTGATGTGTGAGTGACAGTGAATCTGTTATCCATTGGCCCAGTATGGTTGAATACGTGAACGTGTTCTATATAATTTTAGTAGTACATATTTTGGAAAACATGTGAACATGACAGAGTCAAATAGGCTCTAGGTTGTTAAAGACTAAAACCTTTTTCTCTACATCAGGTTTGTTACAGAAAGAGGAAATGGCCGTTGAAGCATTTCAGATTTGCTGTCTCCTCCTGCCTCCTGAAAATAGGAGACAGTTACAGCTGTTGATGAGGATGATGGCAAGGATCTGTTTGAATAAGGAGATGCCGCCACTCTGTGATGGCTTTGGTGCCCGAACACTGGTAGGTTGATTTCTAACCACTAACATGACTTGAGTTTTTGGAATAAAATTCACCTGAGTAAAGTTTATTAACTTGGCAACCAGAGGAAGATACATGGCAGGCTTGCTCCAAGAGCCATGGCTTGGAATCTGCCCCGACTGCTATTGTGCTTTTGGTCTTTGTGTCCTAAAGAACATAATGGAAAGGAAAGCGCGAGTAAGGGTAGACTCTGAGTGCAGAGATATCTGCTGCATCCTGCCTACTGTCCACACAAAGAGAAGGAAGGGTGGACGGAAGAGATAAGTGGTCTCAACAAAATACTCTCTCCTCCAGGTCAAAAGGGTTGCGAAGCCTTTGTTACTATAACCAGTAGGAGGGAGGCAGCATATACAAGTAGTTTAAAGAGGGAAGAAGTAAAATATAGTGTTGAACCAGACAGCTTGGAAGGGGAGCGAGAACTTGTGTCTCCCATGGTATGATGTAAGTGTCTATGAGTGAGGATATTTCTTAAAATATTCTCAGTTTTGCTTAAAAACATATGCTAATTTTGAATTCTGCTTTGTAACATTCGCATGTGTCTTAAAATAGAGTTTACGTTTAGAATTATTTACTGGCAAAATTTCTTAATTTTCCTCAAAAAAAGCCTTGGAGCCAAGCTGATGCTTCATTGGGATGTATATCCTTTCCGTCTCCTGGTGGAGCCCCTGTGTATCCCTGGGAGTCCACTGGCCCAGTTCTGGAAGTATGGAGAAAGATCAGAGGGGCACTCTGCCCAGTGGAGTGATTCTTGACCTTTTTTGGGGGGGTGGGTAAGTATGTATGGGAGCTAGATATTCGACCTGTTTGAAAAGCCGAAGAAAACTGCATCTATCCCCCAGAAGAATGCATGTGTAAAATTTTGCATAAGATTTCAAGGCATTCATGGACTCCCTGGGGTATAATCTCCAGGTAAAGAATCTCTGTCTATGTGTCTCTCTCTGTATACATAAATGTGAATGAAGATAAAGTATCATCATCAGAGTATTAATAAAATGATGTTTTATTAAATGGAATTACATGCTTATAGGTTTTGAAATAAGATTGTCAGCAATAAAATTGGTAGGAAAGGAAAAAAATAGTCCATCCAAAGGATAGCATTAAGAATGGAGTACTTAGGAGGGCCGGCCGAGGGGCTCAGTTGGTTAAGAGTTCGCTCAAGAATGCGAGCTCTGAGCAACAGGGTCGCTGGTTTGATTCCCAGCCTGAGCTGAACTGCCGCTGAGCTGCCAATAGGTGGCAGGATGGCTCAGCTAAAAAAAAAAGAAAAAGAATGGAGTATTTAATATGAATTCTGTAGAAACAGCTGCTATAATATTTTTTATATTTCTGCTTACTGTAAAGAGTCGCATCGCTTAATGCGCTTCTTGTCAAGTCCCATCGTTTTCTTCAAAGGTGACTGTCAAATGTACATACAAAATCCTAGAGAAAACAACAGCTAGCTAGGGAAATATATAACGGTTGAGGAACACAGACTGTGCTAGTAGAGTGTAAAAAATAAATAATGAATTTAGGATACTAGACTAGATGGCTATAAAGTACACTGACCATAAAAGTCTACATGGCCCAAGTCATGATGTTGATAATAATTTTCAGAATTTGTTTAAATATTTATTTGAGACCATCTGTGAAATGGGGTGCCTTTAAAAGCTGTTCAGACGCACATCTTTGCTAAGTCTCTATGTGGGGAGATACACATTGTGTTCACGCTGGTCGATGAGAAGAGCAGGTGACCAGGTGTGGCCAGGTGCCAGGTCGGGTGTGCGCCCTGCTCTGTGGGCCATTTCTCACTGACTAGTCACAGTTGCTTTTTGCAAATTAGATTACATCCAGTTCAGAGTATGAAAAAAATGCTCATCTGTGTTTATTTAAAAATCCCCCCACTTTTTTTTTTCTTCTTTTTTTTTTAGATGGTTCAGACATTTTCTCGTAGCATCTTGTGTTCCAAGGATGAAGTGGACTTGGATGAGTTATTAGCTGCTAGGTTGGTGACATTTCTGATGGACAATTACCAAGAGATTCTGAAAGTCCCTTTGGCCTTGCAGACCTCCATAGAGGAGCGTGTGGCTCATCTACGAAGAGTCCAGGTAAAGGAAGGGAAATTATCAGTCCTATGAAATTGTCAGCAAGAAGTCATGTAAGCCTGGTAGGCTTTTGGGATTTTATGTTGTGAGGATTAAGTGAATTAATATGTAAAAAGTGCTTACAACAGGGCTTGGCACATAGCAAGCATTACACGTGTTTGTTATCATTGAAAATTTGTGGACCGCCTACTTGGTTTTGTTTTGTTATGTCAATCAATGCTGCTTACTTTTTTTTTTTAACTTTATTGGAGAACAGTGTGTTTTTCCCAGAACCCATTCTCTCCAAGTCAAGTTGTTGTCCTTCAATCTTAGTTGTGGAGGGCGCAGCTCAGCTCCAAGTCCATTCGCCATTTTCAATCTAGTTGTTGGGGGTGCAGCCTACTATCCCATGCGGGAGTCGAACCAGTAACCTTGTTGTTAAGAGCATGTGCTCTAACCAGCTGAGCCATTCGGTCACCCTATGCTGCTTACTTTTGATTGCAAATTCCTTAAATGAATTTTTTCAGAATCTACATATACCTCCTGATGGAAATGATTTACAGGTCTTGATTCATAATAGCCCTGCGACCCAGATACTATTAATATTTATATTTTTTGGATGACAAAGCTGTGGGACAGAACGTAAGTAGCTCGTTCAAGGTCACAGAGCCAGGATTGAAACTGATGAGATCAGTCTCCAGAATCAGTGCTCCCAACCACCATGCCTCCTGCCTCGCTTTAAAATGTGGTGTGATAGAGAACACAGCTTTAGAGCCCTGAAGACCTGGCTGGGCCAAACCCCTGGCTCCCCTCTCTCCTGGTTGTGTAGCTCTGGGCAAATCCTTCAGCCTCTCTGGATTTTAGTTTCTGCAAGTGTTAAAATGGGCCAAGCCTGCTCTATAAAGTTGTTGTGTAGGATAGAATACTAGACTGTAAAACTCCTTCCTTTGAAAGGAAGTGTTATTGTTATATTGAAACGATACAAAAGAAGCTTAATATACAATAGTAATGTTATCTGGGCCCCAAAGAGGGGTTTGTGTGTCAGAATGTGGCAGCAGAAACTTTTGGTAAGA